AATCAGCTAATTAAGCCATAACACCTGCAAAGGGTTCCTGAGCCTTTAAATAGTTTCTCAGTCAGGTTCAGTAGGAATCACAATTATGGGAAAGACTGCTGACCTCAAAGTTGTGCAGAAAGCCATCATTGACACCCTCCATAAGGAGGAAAAGCCTCAAAAGGTAATTGCAAAAGAAGTTGGATGTTTCCAAAGTGCTGTATCAAAGCACATTAATAGAAAGTTATGTGGAAGGGAAAAGTATGGAAGAAAAAGATGCACAAGCAGCAGGGATGACCGCAGCCTGGAGAGGATTGTCAAGAAAAGGCCATTCAAAAGTGTTGGGAACTTTCACAAGGAGTGGACTGAGGCTGGAGTCAGTGCATCAAGAACCACCACACACAGACGGATCCTGGACATGGGCTTCAAATGTCGTATTCCTCTTGTCAAGCTGCTCCTGAACAACAAACAATGTCAGAAGCATCTTACCTGGGCTAAAGAAAAAAAGAACTGGTCTGTTGCTCAGTGGTCCAAGGTCCTCTTTTCTGATGAGAGCAACTTTTGCATCTCATTTGGACACCAAGGACCCAGAGTCTGGAGGAAGAATGGAGAGGCACACACTGCAAGATCTTGAAGTCCAGTGTGAAGTTTACACAGTCTGTGTTGATTTGGGAAGCCATGTCATCTGCTGGTGTTGGTCCACTGTGCTTCATTATGTCCAGGGTCAATGCAGCCGTCTACCAGGAGATTTTGGAGCACTTCATGCTTCCTTCTGCAGACGAGCTTTATGAGAATGCTGACTTCATTTTCCAGCAGGACTTGGCACCTGCCCACACTGCCAAAAGCACCAAAACCTGGTTCAATGACCGTGGGATTACTGTGCTTGATTGGCCAGCAAACTCGCCTGACCTGAACCCCATAGAGAATCTATGGAGCATTGCCAAGAGAAAGATGAGAGACATGAGACCGAACAATGCAGAAGAGCTGAAGGCCGCTATTGAAGCATCCTGGTCTTCCATAATACCTCAGCAGTGCCACAGGCTGATAGCTTCCATGCCCCGCCGCATTGAGGCAGTAATTGCTGCAAAAGGGGCCCAAACCAAGTACTGAGTACATATGCATGCTTATACTTTTCAGAGGTCCGATATTGTTCTATGTACAATCCTTGTTTTATTGATTGCATGTAATATTCTAATTTTCTGAGATTGTGGATTTGGGGTTTTCATGAGCTGTAAGCCATAATCATCACAATTATGACAAATCACAGCTTGAACTACCTTGCTTTGCATGTAATGAGTCTATCTCATATATTAGTTTCACCTTTTAAGTTGCATCACTGAAATAAATGAACTTTTGCACAATATTCTAATTTTTCGAGTTTCACCTGTATATTGCTACACTTTATAGACCTATACTCCTTTTGTATAGGGTTCAATTTCTTATCTTTGTTTCAATTTTCTATTCTTGTTCTATCAAAACCATTGCTTATTCTTTATCTTTTCTGCCTGTTTGTTCCTAGCTAACCTTTATAGCTCTTCATCTCTTTTGATCCTCAGCTCCATCTGAAAGAAAAGGTTGGAAGAACCTTTCCCTCAACCAAGGTCTTTTTGAATTTGTGTGTTATGTTTCTTATATCTCATTGTTTTGTGAATGTAATCATATTTTAATTCTTGGGAAATTATTGAGTTTCCTGTGGGATTGTAATGGGATATAATTGCAATAAATGAATAAATACAATTTCTTCAAATGCCTTTTAGATGTTGCCATCCTAATATTCTACAGTTGTTGGGTTTCTGTGTAGAAAATGGACTTCACTCCTTGATTTATCCCTACATGGAAAATGGATCGTTACTGGACAGGTTACATTGTCAGGTAAGCAACAAGCGTGCACTTTTGCTTACCACATCCATTAAAAGGAAGCACTTCTGTCAGCTCAACCAGCATGAGAGAGTTTATGGGAGTTACATTCCAAATAACAACATTCAAAGACATGAGATTGCTCATTGCGAGTTGCAGAGATAGGGGGGAAGATGCCTTGACTGTATCACTAGTAGAAAGGCAAACAGCTAATGAGGAATCAGCCACCCCCAAGTACAGAAGCATCAATTTGACTCTATCTATTGTTTCGCCTCAAGAATTTACTTCTCTAACCGTTTCAAAAAGATCTTGGTTTCAGTGATAACCCAGTGGATACTGTAGCCCTAAAATCTGGTTGAGTTTAGGCAGTAAGTAGTGCTTGATATTTTATTTTATTTATTATGAAATTTATTTGCCAGCCATCTTGTTTCAAAGCAACTCTGGACAGCATACAAGATTAAAAAAAACATTAAAATAATCAAATATAAACATACCCAATAAAATCACAATACAAGCAGAATAAAATCATTGACACATGATGGAAAGGAGGCAGCCCAGTTTACGGGGAATGGGAAGGTGGGTTTAGCTCTTACTTAATCAACCAGCTCCAGTTTGAAACAGTTGAGAAGCTCTTTGGCTTACTTAGTTATCTGAATTCAGAATAACTGTTAATAACAGGTGGTCGTCACTTAATAACCACTCATTCATGACTGAACTTAAGAAGGTGCTGAATGAGTGGTACCTATGACTGATCCTCAAAGTTTTGGCTGTTGCAATGATCCCGCAACCATGTGATTACTTTTTCTGACCTTCAATACCAGTTTCTGTTGCAGTATGTTTAGCTGTTGCTATATAGCAGGGGTGTCAAACTCAAGTCCTGCAGGCCAAATCTGGCCCCTGGCGTGCTTAGGTCTGGCCCGCGAGGCCATCCTGGAAACAGCAAAGGACTGGCCCACAGTGCCTCTGCCAGCAAAAATGGAGCTTGGGATGGCTGCATGCAGCCCTCCCCAGCTCTATTGATGGCTGTGATGGCCTCCTGCAGCACTCTGCTACTGAAAATGGAGCTCCATTTTTTCTGGCAGAAGGCTGCAGGACATCAAGCTGGCCATGCCTACCACGGCCACAGTTCCCCTCGCCCCCCAAGGTCAAACAACCTATGCAACCCTGATGTGGCCCTTAATGAAATCAAGTTTGACACTCCTGCTACACAGTTAGGGTTTTGAGGGGAGGGGGCTCCTAGGCGCACAACAAAACTATTTCCATATTCTGTAATTCTATTTTGGAATAAAGTATAGTGCTTTTTCAGAGCTTGGTGTCCCCCAAATTGATGAACTACAGTGTCTATCTCCAATCCTCATGGAGACGATGGTAGCTGCAATCCAATACAGTATCAGTCTCAAGGGGCTGAAATATATGGCAGCAGAGCAGAACAGCAGAACTATTCCCAATGTGTTATTCGATTTTTGCAGTAGGAGTGTTTTATCATTCATTGCTAAACAGTCATCTTTTTAAAGATCCATTGTTCTTTCTGTTGCAGGATAGTTCTGAAGCATTAACTTGGGAGAAACGCACCAGGATATCTTTGGGATTAATTAAAGCCATTCAGCATTTACATCAGTTTGGAATTATTCATGGAAATATAAAAAGGTGGGGATGTGCATTTAAAATAGCATTTACTTCTTTATGTATCCTTAATGAACTATTTAAACATCTATCCGATTAAAAATGTTGCATTTTCATAAGAAAGGAGTATAGCTAAACAACATCAGTACAGTGCTGGATCCTTCTTAGCAACTTTGTCTTCAATAAGTATTAAGTAACTGACTCATAAATTACTTCCTCCTACATAGATGCACGCACACACATACACACACAGAGCTGGCTTGGCTTTCATGATTAAAAAAAGGGAAAGCAAAGCACACCTTCAATACTTCAAGGCAAACTTAAGTTTAGAAGTAATCCATTGTGTCAGATAAATCCCCAAGAGTCACAAAATTAGTTAAAAATGTACTGTAATCAATTCTTACCTGCTGAATCTACGGTGTACATCTGCAGCTACCCTCTCAGCTGATTTTGGCTTTCTTTCCCTTGTCATAAATAGGGCAGAATAACTAGAAGAGAACATTTGACTGGAAAAATTAGAGTGCACTCTTTGTTCTTTTATTCATTTATTCTGCTTAATACACCACTTAATTATTTTATCTCCAGATGTATAGAGTTGCCTTCATTGAGATGGGCAGCATATAAGTTTGATAAATAAAAAAATATTTATGAATACATATTTTCTTAAGAAAGTAATTTGTTTGCCTTAAGAAATTGTCATGCAAATAAAATACTACTGATTGATAATATTGGTATAATTTATATTTTACATTACATTACATTTTGTTAGAATTCAAATGTATGCACAGTATTAACGACCTGAAATTAACTGCCATTTCTTATAGCTTTAAAACCAGGTTTTGGTCACACATTTGTTTAACTGATGTTTATAAGTGCTGTTTTGATAATAATGCTGCTTAGGGTTAAGTTCTCATTCACGTTCAAAGATCAATGTTGTACCTGATCTTTTATTTGTATTTTTATCTCCGATACAAACAGTTCCAATGTTTTGCTGGATGCAAACTTTGTACCACAACTTGGACATTCTGGTCTTAGACTGCATCCTGTGGAAAAGAAATCGGAATATACTGTGATAAAAACCAAGGTCTTGCAAGCTTCACTAGCTTATTTCCCAGAAGATTTTGTCAGGCATGGGCAGCTAACTGAAAAAGTGGACATATTTGCTTGTGGAATTGTAAGTTGTTGTTCTTCATGAATAATCTTATATAACTCTCATGCCAAGAATTGGACATGTTTTCCTTTAATTAAGTTTGATAACTTACTTCCAGTGGATAAATTAGTAAAATGTCAAGATGTTGTTTCATAAAATTATGCTTGGAGATTGAAAAATTATGAATAAGCTCATTTTTCCATGCCAGAGAACACTGTTTGCATGGCAGGCACCATTTGTGCTATATTGTGTCTCGGTGTCTTTAAAAAAAGGGTTTTGGATTATAAAACTAAGGAAGGCTTCTGCCTAAGATTGAAGAGAGAAGCTGCCTGTCAGCATAGGCAATATTGATCTCTATAGACTTGGTTAAAAGCTGGCTTGTATCTGATAGAAAGATTTTCTTCTACGATAGGATGGATTGCGCCTAGATAGTGCCAGATGAACTGTATAAATAGTCTGAAGGTCAGGATTATCAGATGTCCATTATAATTTTTTAAAAATCTAATTGTAGTCATTTTTCTAGGTTTTAGCAGAAATACTGACTGGCATGAAAGCAGTGGATGAAAGAAGAAATCCTATTTTTCTGGTATGTAGAAAATATATTTTGGAAGATTTAAATGTTTGAAGAAAGACCCTGAGAGTGAGAAGTCCTCAGACTGGAGAATATAGTTTTTGAATCGTTGTTGTTTTATGCAGTTTAGTTGTTCCACATCTGCATAAGAAGGGTACATGAGGTTCCTTCCTCTTCCTTTCCCCCCCACTACTCTCATAAGCAGAGAAAACACAGGATTGCAAGAGTAGCTGAGCAACTGTCATGGAATGTTCAAAAATAACCATAGTAGCAGCCTGACAACATTGAAGCAGCCACAACTTCCCAAAATTTCATTCCCTCAGAGTCATGGATTTGAAGCACATTCTATAATTTAGTTCTTTTGAGCTACCTTTGCTCAAAAATTGTTCCCCTATGATACACCATTTTGCCCTGTTAAAATTTGAGGAACTATTTAGTAATATGTAGAAAACAGAACAATTACTTTCAGCTTCATTATGTAAGGGAACCAAATAACTTAACAATTCTTTAAAGGACAGAGAAATAACATCAACTGCATTCTTCCAACCTTTTCTTCAACAGAAAGATGCCTTGCTTGAAGAACTCAGAATGGCAAAAGAATTGTCTTGTACTAAGGAGAAAAACTTTGAAAATCTTGCTGCCATACAAATATGTCACAAATACCAAGATAAGCAAACTGTTTGTTTGACAGAAACAGTTTCTTTATACTTGGCCACTTCTATCTGCATTTGCCTGCGGAAAAAGAATGCAAACACAACAGAGGTAAACATAATCAGCTTGTTAGTGAAGATGTGCTTGCTATGTAGTCCTTTTATTTTCTCTATTTTCTTGGATTTAAGAGTAAGTAAATGTAGAAAATAAGGGAAATTGTTTTATTTCAATGAGGAAAGTAGAAACAATCCATTTAACATTCTTGTCAAAAACAGGTGAATGAAATGATAGAAATTGCAGATCATCAGAACATGTCAGAAAGAAGCAGAAATCTTGGGCTCTTCACCAATATTCCAGAAGAAACCAATGATGAACCAGCTAGTCCCTTCAATGTTGATTTTGATGGTCATAACCACAAGGCCTCTGCCAATTCTGGATCTCTAAACTGTACCACTATATTATCACCTTGTATAAAAGTTTTGCCTTCTGAAACATACTCTGAGCAGAATTTACGGGTACCTTGTGAGTCAGATGAATCCTGTACCTGTTCATGGGACGCTGTAGAACACGCTTCCTGCTGTGCACCAGCCAAACACAGTCTGGAACCAGAAAATGTTTCTTTCCCTAAGCCTATGATGTATACAGCAAAAAATACAGATTCTGACAGAAAAACAAATCAACAGCAGAGAAAAAATGATAGCCCTGCTTGTTCCTCACAAGGTAAAAGGTAATATTTAAATATTCTTTTGGGGAGGGGAAAAACAAATTGCATTCATACTTTCAGAGACACCAAGTTAGGGACGCCTTGTTAGCTGTCTGGGAGAGAATCAAGAGAAATCATATGAAAATTCCAATGTGATTATCTACTATACAGGCAATGGTATATCCTAATGTCTTAGACTTAAATAAAATAGTTAGATACAAAGAATTATTAGACGAGCAAGGAGAATTAAAATCAAACCAAGAATTGAAGGTACAAGGAATAGAGATAGATTGGTGGCCATATCTACAAATCCAAACACGGCATAAGAAACATATAGAACAATATGGGATACACAAAGATCAACAGGAATTAGATAAAATATTCCAGGGGACAGAGGAAAAAATTATTACTAAAATGTATAACTATCTCTTTAAGATTTTGAATGGAAGAAGAAATAGTAAAGGAGAGTATGATAATTTGGGCAATTTTTTTTGGATATAGCATTGATTTGGAAGATTGGGAAAAATTATGGTAAATAAACTACAAACTACTGTAACATTATCAGCAGCCTATAAAGAGAACTTGTATAAAATACTCTATAGCTGGCACTTACCTCCGGCAAGGCTGGCTAAAATGTTCTCTATCAGGTCGGCAAATTGTTGGAAGTGTGATCATGAACAGGGAACTTTTTTCCATATGTGGCGGACCTGCCCTAAAGCTAAGAAATATTGGCTCAAAATCAAGAATTGGCTAGAAGAAATTACAAAACAAAAAATTGAACTGAAACCAGATATATTTTTATTGGGTATATTAAGATATAAAATTGGCAAAAACTTTCAATATATCATACTTCATATAATAACTGCGGCAAGAATTGCCTTCACCCAGAACTGGAAATGTGACAATATTCCTTCCGACACCATGATAATAAAAAAGGTTTCAGAATGCATAGAGATGGATAGGTTATCAATGGAATTGAAAGAGAGAGAAGAAACAGAGTACCACGAGATTTGGAACTTATGGTATAACTGGTAGATGTAAAGACATAAAGCAGATGGATGAGATATGTAGGAGTTAAGGTAAGATGAAATAATACCTTGTATAACCATGTAAATAATTATGTAAATAACTATGAATATATGCCTTAAATTGAATGTAGGAATAACTGTAACAATACTTAGTAGTAACCTATACATTTAGAAATATGTCAATGTGAGTGAACACTAGTACAAATACACTGTAATGAGTGGAAATGTGCTTTTAATTGTGAAAATATGTTCAATAAAGATTATTAAAAAATTTAAATAAATAAATATCCTTATTTTCAGGTTTGGTAGAAATTAATAATGTAAAAAATTATGTGGAAAGTTTGATACAGCATCACAGAAATAGCAGTGAAATATAACAGTTTCTCCTCAGGTCCAAGTAAGGAGAGCCTGAAACAATATAGTTAGCAATAAATCAGAAAGGGTAAATATAGTGAAGAAAATGGAAGTACAGTACTGTTTACTGGGAAAATATTCACTCCAATATATATTTATTCTTATGCTGATGGGATAGCACTCATATTTGAAAACCTACATGCTGCTGGATGCTAATATGCCAGATATACTAAATAATGTATTTTACCACTTTGGCTAGTTCGTCAGCTGCATTAATGATGATGTTTGCACTAGTAACCTCTAGATTAAATTTTGGAAGTGGTTGGAAATACTGGTATGCCTGACAGAATTTTGATCAGAGCTGTCCGTACAGAACATACACTGCTAATTCTATAACTGTTTAGCTAATTGGTTGGTTTCCAGGTCTATTCATTGGGATTATATTCTCTCTTTCCTATAAATTGAGAGATTTTGACTCATTTTATCTCTACAATAGTAATCCTAGAGGACAGGTTGAATTAAGAGAAAGGGACTGGAGTAAAATCACTCAAGTCAATTTCCATAGCTTAAAGTAGACTTTAACTTCAGTCTCATCAGTCCTAATTTTGATTAATTTTAATTTTACTATTCTAAATAATACGACTCCCAAATGCTTGGGATTTGCACCTATGTAGACCATAAGATTTCTGTGGAATTCTTGATCTGGGGGCTTGTTTCCCTGATGGTACTCAGGCACTGGAATTCTTCCCTTTGCTTTTTGCAGAATTTGGCTTTCAAAAGCAAACTAAGGCCACTCTTTTTCCAGAAGTCTTGGACTGGTCTTTCATGACAACTTTTGGATTCTTTTAACTGTTGTGTTTGCATTTTAAAAATATTTTTCTTTACATGATATTTAGCTTTCTGATGAATTGTTGATCTGTTTTAGACGTTGTGTTGAAATGCATTCCATAAAAGTTTTTAATGAAATGGAGACTAAACTTGTATATTCATTATTTAGATCAGTGATATTATTTTGTCTTTTATTTCAGCTTTAATTAAAGAAATAAAAATCAATGATAAAAAGAAGCAGCTAATGGAAAAAATAACATTATATGATGAAAATAAGATAAACAGTTATGACCTCTTTGAATCTTCAATATAAATATATTTCTATCAGACTTCAGAAGATGGAGCATTTCTTCCCCAGCAAAATGCATTTTTAAAATACTGTTATACTTCTATATACAAGAAAACTACAATGATGTTACATAATGAGAAAGCATTCTTTTTCAAATCCATTTGTATATGAATTTCTCTTATTTTCCTATTCTGGTTAAAATTATTTTGTTGGATCTAGCCAAAATATTCTTCAGTTGCAACTGATTACTAGTTGGTATATTCTCTGAAAACAAATGTATTTTTCTTATTTTGTACAGGTATTGAATTAGATAATTACTATGTCTCCTTACAATTTGCTCCTTACAAACTTAGTGCTTGAATAAAAACATTATGAGCAGATTCCACTAAAAGGTATTAAATGAAGGAACACTGATACGTTTTATCTGGCGTCCTTAATATGTGAGTTCATTAGATAGTGCTCAATGCACTGATAAGCACTGTAGAACATTTAATCATAATAAAAGGAATTCCACAGTTGAATAGTAATATATATCTGTATACCAGATGAGGGTAAAAATATATGGGTTTTTTTTCTGCTATGTGGATGATTCAAACAGCTTAGAAAATTATCCTGCTGTTGAAATACTTCCCAAAGTCAGGATAGGCCATTTTTCTCCTTTCGTGTAGATTATCTTGTGGACATAAATGGCCTTCAAAAAGTCCCTGACAAAATTCTAGCAACTTATTCATTTTCTGAGTAGTAGAAACAATATTTTTTGTCCCATGACAAAATTATTTTCTAAGTGAAAATATATTATTTAGAACAATCAAGCACACCACCACCAAACATACCACCATGATTTCATATAATATAGCTTTGGTAATTTCAGAATTCAACTCCTACTATTCTGTATACTGATTAATATCCTAGCACAGAGTTCCTCAACCTTTCCGGTTTTGTAGGACTGGCGGGGGGAGGAGGGGATGGTTTTCTGTGAATGGCTGGCAAGCACACACATGCATATTGCTTGCACAAGTGGGCATGCACATGCACACTCACCCAATGTTTGCACGGTCTGGTTGCAAACAGCTCACGGCACACTAGTGGGTTGTGGCCCAGAGGTTGGGCATCCCTGTCCCCTAGCACTTATTGAACATTAAATAGGCCTTAATTTGATCTAAGCAGACCAATTGTGTTGCAGACAAAATTGATGGTTGTTTCACACACTTTTGAGGTTTTTGCAGAATATAAAATACTGCAACTTCATTTCCATGTTTGGAGAATTCGGGGATGACTGAGTGGTTAGATGGACTTTCCTGACACTGACTTGAATAGTTTTGTGTCATGAATAAATTCACAAATTCTATGAATATTGGAGTCCATTGGTGGGATGGGGATGGCAGTGTATAATAGTGACATCTAGTCCCATCAGGTTTTGTGTTTAGTCTCGGGTCCTTTGGTACCAGATTTATCTCTTCATTTGTGAACACAAAATAAGAAAAAAAAATCTATTGTCTATGCCTAGCCATGCTGTGCCACTAGCTGTAAATGCCTCCTGGAGAGGACCTGGCTGGCTATCACTCAGACTTTTGCCATGTGTTACACTCTGAAAAGTATAGTTGACGTAAAATGCAGCAACACAAATATTGAATGGTAATGGTTTTTATATATCTTTTATCCTGCAAAATAGGATAAGTTTAATATAATCAGCTCTACACTGGTTATCAATACTTTTCTGAATGCAGTTATAAAGATCGGCACAAGATATCTTCAGGATGTTGTATTCCAGCTGGAATTGACAGTGAGGTGCTTAAAGGTCAAAGTCCTCCCAGTTTTGTAAGACAAAGGAAGCTGAAAACAGAACATGTTTCTGTTATGGCATTCATACTATGGCATTCATACTCTGAAAGTTTCCCTCTACAAGGTAGGCTGATTCTTTGGGTTATGGCCTTCTCAAAAATAGAGAAGGTGATAGTCTAATGCTAACCCTTCTGTAGGACTGTGATGTGTAACCTGAAACTGGTATTTACTTAGGATTATTTATTGTATCTCTTGTTTTTATTTAAGACATTTGTAAAGAATTGCTTCACAGTGAGATGCACACTATATAAATTTAATTACATAATAAATGTTATATTTATAAAATTGATGTAATAATGATTCAGAGGTTTTTAAAGTTAGTTGCAGAAGCATGAAGAATATACTACTTGTTAGGAATGTAAGTCACCTAACAGTGATTTGGGTTGGAAATATATAAACCAGGATAGACATTTTAATACTGTATCTTTAAGAAAATGCAAAAACTGTAATTGGGTGTGGTTTCTCAAACGGCCATAAGATGGAGCCAGAAACCTGGGTTGTTTAGTCTTAATCTCAGAAGAGAGTGTGTCTCAGTCTCTGTTTCCTTCTGTTGGAAAGTATTGCCGTTCCTCCATTTTTTCTAATTGACTGATATATTACTGGAATTTGATCTAAGTCTGATACTGAACTGTTTCTGACACTGGACTTTGTTATTGGATTATCCCTGAACTGAAAACTGACTGATTTAACCTGTGAATGACTTTGGACTGTGTTTGAACTTTGCTTAACGTTTCTGAAAGTAAAAACCTACATTTACTGTACAGTGTATCTGTGTGCTGTGTGTGTGTTATTCAACACTTCTCTCACTACGTCACCCTGTATGCGCTCATTCTTCTAACGGGGAATTACCTCAACACTACTAATCTACTATTACTTTTATATCAGAGGTTCTTAAAGTGAGGACACTGGGGAATCCCCCTAAGACTGGGGTCCATGAAATCAAAGTTTGCCAGATATTAAAAATATTTGGAAAAACAATGTCATGTTTTACTTATTTTTGTTAAAATATTTTCCTGAAAATTATTTATGTTACTATCTAATGGCATTAATATTATTTTTACATGATTCAATAAATAAATATACTATACATTTGTCCAGTTTTAATTTTTAATACAGTAAATGATGATAAACATGACCCATATAAACAAAAGCTCTTTTGGAGTCCTCCATAATTTTTTAAAATGGGGAGAGGTTCTGAGAGCAAAACGTCTCAAAAACTATTCTCTATATATGGCTATAATGGCTTCCACTTACTACTAAATGTTTCTTGCAAGGTAATCTGCCACTTCTTCTGTCCCCCTTTATCAGAGATCTGAAATAAACACTGGAAATTTCTCTTTCTCAGTGCCAGCTGAGGGAGCCAGTGGAGCTTTCTGTAGAGGAAGACATTGCAGAAATAGTGCTTGAAAGAAGAGGAGGAATAATAATTATTTTTCTCCAAATTTGGCAACAGTGTTCTTCTTTCCTTTGGCCTACAGCAGTGGTATCCAAACTGGGAGTGGAAATTCACAAGTCTAAAATGTTGCAAAATGTTGCACAAATTGGATATCCCTGATCTACATTTAATGGTACTGAGGACACAGAGGTGGCAGAAGCAGGATTGAGGAAGAATGCATATAGAAACATAGTAAATTGATGACAGAAAAACAGCCAGTGATCCACTGAGCCTGCCCTCTGAGTTTTTTTTTTCTTTTTCTTTTTTTATTTTTGTTGGATGATAGTGTTGGAAGTTATAACCCACCCTCTCTTAGAAAAATGAAATATTTTAGGATATACTAATGTTGGAAGAAATATCTTTCTGGGTTCAGTTCCAAGTGGGGAAAAAGACACTGGAAACATGGAGGCTGTTTGGAAGGTTTAATGGACAGGACCACATGGCCTGGAGCTCCAGAGTGAAAAGGAAGGATGATCACATGCTTCAAGGTGAAGGAAGAGATCAAGAAAGGCTGATATGCTGAGAGTGTCTGGGTTTTATAACCTTTGTTGGGATTTGAATTGGAGTTTGTATTCTGATTGGTTGTCAGACTCCCATGAGCCATGCAGGGGCAACTCTGTAGGCTGTCCTGAGTTCCAGGCTTGGTTGAGCCTTACTGGATGATGATGAAAGGGCTTTTGAGCAAAATGCTATAGCTTTACCTGGAGATCTTTGTTATGTAAAGTATTCTGGCCCAGGCCTTAATGGCCCACCCATTAACAAAGGTGGGGGTGAGCTTCTGCTTCTGAGGTAAGTTTCTGCTTCTGAGGTGAGTTTCTGCTCTTGAGTTTCTACTCTTTTTAGGAGAAATATTTTGCCTTTTTAATATTTCCTAGGATATTTCAATTTTCTAGGAGAGGGGTGGGTGCTAACTTCCTACACTAATAAAGCAGAATATTTCCCCTAAAAGAGAAGGAGAAACTCAGCCTCCCCACTTTGCGAATGGGCCATTAAGGCCTGAGCCAGTCTATTTTACAAAGATCTACCTTCTTCAGGTAGAGCCATAACAGGAATTGCCCAAAGCCCTTTCATTACATCATCATCCAGCAGGGCTCAACCAAGCCTAGGACTCAGGATAGCCTACAGAGTTGCCCCTGCATGGCCCCATAGGAGTCTGACAACCAATCACAATACAAGCTAAAATTCAAATCCCAACAGAGGGCATAAAACCAAGGGACTCTCAGCATGTCTTCCCTTTTTTTCTTCACCCGAATCATGTGATCCTTTCCACCATTAAACCAGCTCTCCAAGCAGCCACCATGTTTCCAAGCTGACTGGGGAATTCTGAGCAGGGTTGCCATCTGGCCGTTTTTCCAGCCAAATTCGAGAAATCTGGCCATATTTCTATCTGCTTGGCCGTGAAAAAATGATGTCTCCGGCCAAATTTATTTGGCCGGAAATTTGGCCGTACGAAAGTTGTTTGGCCGTGAAATCAGCCAGATGGCAACCCAGCCGCTCTCCTTCCCTCACGCATGCGCGTCACCATGAGCAAAAGGAGGACAAGCGCGTCCTCTGGCGCTCTCCTTCCCTCGCGCATGTGCGTCACCATGAGCAAAAGGAGGACAAGCGCATCCTCTCAGTTCTCTGACACGCCCGCTTCCTCTCAACTCCCGTCACACACCCCTTCGGGACCTTGGCGCCCGGCCACGCCCCCTTCCCGCCTGTGACCCGAGCAGGGGCGCCTCCTCCTCCATCAACACCACACCCATTCCTATTACGGCTCGTTCCAACGCCACACCCTTCGGCTTCCCCACCCATCCTGAGCTCTCCTTCCCTCGCGCATGCGCGTCACCATGAGCAAAAGGAGAACAAGTGCGTCCTCTGGTGCTCTCCTTCCCTCGCGCATGCACGTCACCATGAGCAAAAAATAATTTGGCCGAATTTGGCCGTATTTTGACTTGAGTTTGGCCGCAGAGCCAAACTGCGATCTGGCAACCCTGATTCTGAGAGCTGAAGTCCACCAGGCTTAAAGTTGCCAAGGTTGGAGACCCCTGCTTTAAGACACATGATCCCTT